AATGCTTCTATGCCTGTAAAATGAAGTATTTGACGAACAAGCACAAGAACCAGAGCAAATTGCCGAATGGCCACGCAAACCGCAAAACTACAAGCGCGCCCAGCAAAACTGGCAACACGTACAGACTACCACAACGTCATCACCGCGCACACAACAGAAATAAATATCACGGATGTCAAAGAGCACTGATACAGGTTGACGAGTCCTGGACATGGTGGCCTTCATGCAAGTTCAGGCGAACCACAAAATTCAGCGATTCCAAACGTGAACACATTTCACGTTCACAAAGCACACTGCAACGACAAACACAATCACAGTGTGCGTCAACGATGTGAACACCGAGCCGACCACAAACACGCAAAAATATGTCTGATGTGCCTTCATCAAAAGAAAAGCTTCTATATGTTGCCTGAAGCAGCATCGTAAACTTTGACGAAAAGCCGCAATGTTCCACAGATCTGCCCAGATCCAAGCCAAGTTGGGTGAAAATGGCATTTTCGTTATTTTGACCGGGTGAGTATAGCATTCTAGCTATTCTCAACAGGTCGCAGCAGCGGCAGCCGATTACAGCCTAGGCCACCTAGAATGTGGATTAGATTGGATTAGATCGACCTGTACAGTAGACTCACAGTAAACGAAAATCATTTAAACAGAACTGCTGCCTAAACGAAACAACTGCCTTTGATGTCATTGCTTTCATATCCGAATTCTCCAACCCAGTTGACATTTCAGTAAACGGAACTCCTGTTAAATGGAACTCATTTACCCAGTCCTTTTAGGTTCCGTTTAATGAGAGACTACTGTATTTACCGAGTTCTATATAGGATGTGAATTCAATCTGATGCGACCTGGATTGCTGTATTTACTATTGATTTGCATTCCCACCAAAAGTCTGCACATCTCATATATGCTTCTAAGCAAAAAAATAACAATACAGTAATACGTTGTTACAACGAAGTGGGATATAACGAACTATAGAATATAAGGAAACAATTCTAACTTCCTTTTAAGTTCCCATAGACACCCATGTATTTATTATCTCATTTTAACGAAGTGAAAATTTCCTCACAACAGATATAACAAACCATTCTTAGTCTGCAATGAGCCTTTACTGATCAGTTTGTATACATCAATTCAATATCTTATAGCGCGCGACAATTTACATCTCATCACGGCTGCAGCAATTCAAAACACACGCCTTATGCTCCCAGGAGCCACCCGCGGCCTGCCAACACGCCTGTAGGAGCAAGTCTCTCTGCCTCCCCTTTTTTTCAGGAACAAATGAACTCGACTACGTAGCAACTCGCCCACGCAGCAACTCGCGCGAGCGTGGGCGTCAGCTGACCTCCCCTCTCCTGAAGAACTCGTTGACCCGCCCACGCATCTGCCCTCCTCCCCTTAAGCTTTGCACCGGGGTCTCACACGCCGCCCTGGCAGTGGAGATTGTGGGTTCCTTCCGTGTCTTTCGCTGTAGAAGAGCAACACCATCTATATCAATTTCTGCCGCTAGACACGAGATGGACAGCAGCAGTCGCAAACATAAGCGCAAAAAGTCTGGCATCAAGAAAAAAATAAAGTGGCCCAAGATTTCGGCGATGTTGCTGAATGCCGTGGGCGACCAGGCCCTGGCGTCGTGGTTCACTCTCCTTGGCATTGAGCCCAATTGCGACACTTTCCCTGTGTATGTCTGGGTCGATGCTGATGCGGTGACAATCGAAGTTTTGCCAGATGCGAAAATTGTGCCCGCAGAGACCGGCGTGCATGACGACAATGACGAATGTGTCGACACTCCGAGCCTAATGTTGGCGAACCCAACGTATCGACGCCCGCGCAAGCCCTGGATGCGACAGAGCTGCTGTGCTGCTTTTTTGGTGCTTATGATGACAGTGAGGATGGACTCAAAATAGCTACTGCAGCTGAAAAAGCAGTCGTGCATGTGAGGAAGAGTGGGCAAAAGTAAATAATATTAGGGATAAATTTTCTTCTAGGTGATCTGCCAACTAGTGTGCTGAATTTGGCGGCAATAAAGTGCATTTTCTTTGTTAATTTGCAATTTTGTGCCTTCCAACGGCTCTTTTTCTCTGCCGCGCGGACTGCTGTGATATTCGTTGGCAGGTACTCTTGCTGGCTGATTGTTGGTAAAAATGAATATTGGCTATAACGAACTAATGATTATAACGAAGTAATCATGACTCTCCCTTCAACTTCGTTATAACGAGGTTTGACTACAGCTATACACTACTTGTGTATTCTGTGCACCTTGTGTTGAAAATGACTAACAACATCGCAAGCACAAAGCCACGCTGCATAATTTTTTCTTTCTTTTTCAACGACAAGCACATGCATGTTGATGTTTTATTTCTCTGGGCTCTGACACTTGGAGTTAGAAGAAGTCCCCAGATGCCTGCAATGAAAGCTAGGAGTAGCATTTAAAGCGATGACGTTCGAATATGTGCTGGCAAGACGAAATTTGTTTGGTAGAAACAGCTTTCTCGATTCCGCAGATTTATAATAGATGCAGGCGGATTACCTTTGTTTCTGTACTCTATTATGGACATAACGCTAAAAACTAATTACAGATTTATTAGTACCATCTCAAGAAACTGAAATGAGAAATTTAGATGAAGTTATGCAACTCTAACCTTGAAATGCGAGCTACCAGCGATAAGAGCGTAGCTGAAGAAGTTTGCTGTTGCATCGCCAATAATAAAAATGACAGTAATATGGATAGTAAAAGACATCAATAGCCCTGCAAGCTTCCACTAATGGCAGTTCTATCCGAACCAGAAGGCCTTCAAGCTGAGCCGAAATCATGGTCAAGACAAACACACACAAACTTACTGACGTTTGTAATGTTGTGGTTGGAAAAACAGATATGATGTGTGATATGTAGAAGCAACAAACATCAAAATAGTGAATTCACCAACATGGAAGCTAAGGAAGGTTTTAGACAATGTGAAAGACAAGTTGCCGAGAGAAAATTTCTGTGGTCTTATTTACGCTTTAGGCTGCCATAATTGTGACAACCAGTAAATTGGTGAGACCACTGATATCAAGAGCTAAACAACATGAATACGACAGTAGCATAGATAATTGGGCTAGTTGGTTTTGTTATGTCTAGTGTCCGTGTCTGTGTGTGCGCCCTTATTCAGGTAAAGATGAATGAATATGATGTCAGGAAACAACGCGTGACCTAATAGGCCCTTGCTAAACACGTGGAATCTACAGGCAACAAAACAAGTTAAGCTTTCACTTTGAGCTTCATTCCTTGAAGACCCCACCAGGGGGTAAGGGGTGGGTTACAATACAGTAAAACATCGTTATAATGAAGCGGGATATAACAAACTAATGGATATAATGAAGCAATCGTAATTCCCCTTGATATTCCCTAGTATGAGTGTTTCACTAGTATAAGTGTTTCTTTTCTTGCGTTCATTTTGTCAGCACAGCAGGCCCGAGAACATTAACCTTTCAACATGACAATTTACATGCCTGAACAACGTGGCTGCCAGTTTGACAACTCTTGCTCATGTGCAGTCTCTAAATAATGCTGTTTTGCTTGTACGGCCTACATGCATTTCTTGGGTGACTAATGTTATCCAAGTGGTTTACAGGGTAATTGAAAGGTAATCCAACCAGCACTTTACAAGCACACACACTTTCCTTAATTTAAGCGCACTCACAACCACGATAGCATAGTGTGAGCACATGAGGATAAACACATGCTAGATGTTTCAACCTCGAGAGATTGTGGTATCGTTTTTGAAATATGAAAACACCACGTTTGGCGCAGCTTTAGCCCAGAATGGTGGAAATGTAGCAGGATTGGTCTTTCAAAGCATTTTAGCGCAATTGATGCAGCGATCACATCACTGGCACTGTTGCTTGGTCAATGGTAAGACTCGGCTAAATTTGCTGTTGTACGCGCAAATTGCCATTTATGCGCAGGTGGCCATCGTGGGCCAGATTGGCACCAATCGTGCAATTACTGCAGCAATTCAACCCCTGCCTATAGGCATGTTGTTGAATGGGTCTTTATGTTATGGCATGACCTAATATAAACATAGTGGGTTTGAATACGATGCTGGGCAAGTGGCGTCTGGTTAACTTTCGATGTTGTAGTGAAGCAGTCTCAAACGGAGCCGAGTATGCGCAAAAGGCTTTCTCGTTGTGCTGAACACAGACACTGGTTTACATCGAGAGTACTCGTAAACACTTCTGCAGAATGGTCGCATGACAAAATTGCCGTTACCTAATGTTGGCGAACCCTGAGCATCAGCAATTTCTTCAGAGTACGCAATGACGGTGCGTCAGTCGAGGTGACGCGATTCCTCGCTGAAGTTGGTGACCAGTATGCGTGATTGTCTGCTGTGAGGCTGAATGATTCCTCGGGCAACACAGATTTGTCATCAAAAAAGGTAAGAATAATTCGCTTCACTGATTACAGCATTCGACACGCCCTGTCCCAATTCCACAGTGACAAAGAGGCTGCTTTAAGAGGGCAGAGTGACAGAACCATCGACAATATGTAACGGTCTTTTCAGGAATCAGATTCTTTCAGATTCAGCAAAAAAACAGCCCTCAAATGACACAGGCAACTCACAGAGGTCAATAATTTCACTGTATTCTCGATGAAAGTCAATTCCCACGATGATTTGTCGGGAACACACAGGCAACGCAAAGAAAGACCCCATAATTATCAATGCACGAATTTGAACACATGCCGTGCTCATTGCAGCCAACATCACATGGCCAACCGCTATGCGCAACAGGGACTTGTACCTTTGTGGTAGTGTACATTTGTATTAACCACCACAGAAAGAAAATCAGTTCGCAACAGCCGAACTCTATTACATCGCAGGGTGATGGGCCTTGGCCGGAATCACAGAAAAATTCGTATCACCTCAAAGTTCGTACAAGCCATGATCATATCACCAAGCTTCTGCTGTATGCATATGGTACAGAGAATATAAAAAAAGTTTTGTACGGAGGTCACTGACCATTAAATCCAAACAGGAGAACTTTCTTGACTTCGGGCAACTTGGTGGGCTGGGTGTCCCTGCAAAGAATGAATTATTACATAAATTATCTGGCTAGTCTTGGATGATTCACTGCAGTGTCACCGTGGGTTGACTGTTCTAAAACACTTTTACATTCAAGACCACATGTCGGCAAACTCACTCCCGATTCGAATCACTCAGACTCACTCGGACTCAGATCTGAGTCCGAGTGAGTCCAGGTAAACAATATTTTGGTGAGTTTAAGTCCAAGTTAGTCTAGTTGAGGAAATTTTGAGCGAGACCGAGCGAGTCCAATAAATAACAATAATTCTGAGTTCGAGGGAACCCTAAGTGTAGAACATATTTCCTAAGTGCTTCTGAGTGATCTCCAATTTTTATTCCTGACATATCTGCACATCTCCAGCATTAGTATTAGGCTTATATCGGCTTATGATTATACTAAAGTTTATTCACACATACCTCAATGCACTCACATTCATTCATCACATCAACATTTATATGTCGAAGACAGTAAACTGAACAGGTGTCATGATTTCTTCCCCTATACTCTTTCATGGAAAGTTCTGAATAAAGCTACCTCGTCTGAGTCGAAAATTCCATAGGCATGTCCTTAGTGGATTACTGGATTATCGATAAGTTGTATTTGAAAATATAGGGCCAAAGGTGTTATGTAGAGCACCAATTATGTGAAATATTGCCATGAAAGAGCATTCACAACAAGATTTTAAAAAAGTAGTTCTACACTCACAGGCTCGTGATTCCACTTATTCAGAGTCATATCAAGCAGTGAGCCTGAGTCTGAGTGAGTGCAGCTAAGTGCACTCACTCAGACTCAGGCCTTGGTGAATTTGAGTCCGAGAGAGTCCAATTGAGGAAAATTTTGGTGAGGCTCAGGAGTAAGCCAGAAAAGAATATATTTGTGTGAGTCTAAGAGCGTTCCAACTATTTTGCCGACCTATGTTAGAAAATAAAACAAGAAAATTAAATGGCTAAGGAATGAAAACTACTTCACTGAAACAGTTGATTTGCTGTAACCTTGCATACCACAGAGCGAAACAAATAGGAGGACTACAAACAGGTATGCTACTGGCTTAGGCTACTTTGGAGCAGCTTTTGAAGCAGACAAAACAGCGTTTTGAAGCAGCAAAACTGGCTTTCGGAGCAGATATTGCTCGATACAATTTTAGAGGGGCACAGATACAAAAACATTGGCCTCGCGTTTTTCTGAGCCACAAAAACATTGGCTTCGCATTTTTCTGATGAGATGTGTTGCTGAGGGCCTGTTAGACATAACACGACACATTGTTTGCTGTAGCGCATAACAGATAATAAATTACAGGCCCATCATTATCGACCAATTTCAGTTTCGGTTTGAAAGAGTTCCAAAAACTGGGTGCAACTGTCGCCACCTAGCGTGCGCAGCTCTTGGCCACGTCAGCACACAGAACTGTGACACACTTCCACTCGGTCCACAACAAGAACTACTTTTGAATAGGAAACGAGACTACAATGTTGCCAAACACAAAACTTTCCAAGTGTGCGCCATGACCGTGCTCTCGCAACCAGTCGCCGAGAAATATAGACAGCGGGAACAAACATGGCAAAAGGAAAATGGCAGCTATGACGTCATCATAACTTGTTTTGTTGACTGCAGAGTGGTGACGTGAAAGAAGTAGGGGGTCTACTAGGGGTCTGCTGCGAGAGTGTCAATGGCACGATGGAATCAAGGGCTCACGCAAACTTCAAATTTCTTTTAATATACCTTCCCAGCTATATTTACTGTTGATACTTCGCAGATGATATACAAATGTTCCTGGAAATCGACCCCACAGGCTATACCAGCCTCGAAATTTTGTGTCAGCGCCCCTTTAAGACCCCTATTGTGTTCACGAGAAAATCCGTAAAGAAGGATTGTGTCGAGCCAACGTTCCAACAAGCAGTCTTGTCTTCCTCAGAACAAAACTGTTGTGTTCAAGCCTTGAAAAAGACAAGTCCTCTTGTTGAAATGTCAGCTCCCTGTTTACGAATTTTTTCGCACACTAATGATAAAATTACACTGTGCTGCACGCTATTCAAGCATAAAAGAATAAAAAAAAATAAAATTATATCACCGACAGATAACCTGACCACATTTATTAGACAAAAACAAATGATACAATTGAAAACCATAGAAGTTCATTTTAACGTAACTTAAGATCAGTTCACTGCCGATTTTTTGGAAGCCAGCTTTTTCAGACATGCTTGCGAATTCAGACGATGTAACGACAGCATCACAAGCCCCATCGAGGTCAATGAATAAGAACATCTGAAATTTTCGACGCTAAAACTCTCTGGCGTCTGATTTTTTTGGGCTTTCAGCTGACATTCCAGGTACGAGAAAACATTACATAATGTCCCTATCATTGCTACATCTATGACCTCGAAGGCTTAAACAAACGCTTTTAAAGGGTCCCTACAACACTTTTTGAGCATGGTCAGAAAACGCTGCCGATAACCTGACCACATTTATTAGACAAAAACAAATGATACAATTAAAAATCATAGAACTTCATTGCCCGACAACACGCGAGGCAAATATTATAGCATAGCACGCAGCCTGGAATTCCCAATAAATTATCAAAGTAAAAAAATTGTTTTCTCTTTTCGCGACAAATAACAAAAGACACTCGAAAATCACTCATAAAAAACCCATCAGCCATTAGTTGATTTTAACATGGTGCGTTTAGTCGTTGCAGAGATCCCCGCTGGTGGCCTTTCTCGCTCACGCATGCGCGGGATCACTCTGAAAAAGCTGTGCTATCAAAGTAAAAAAGAAGAGAAAAAAGTGCACGAGGTGGATGACGTATTTTTTCCACCCCTGCCATCCCTCCCTCCTTAGCTTCCAGGGCCTTCGTTGGGACGAGAAAATAAAGAACGCATTTGCAACACGGGACAAATCTTTGTAACTCCATTCGACCTAGACGGATTCTTAAAATTTTTGCGGCAATGAATTCGCGAGGCAATAAGCTCTTCAAGTGAATTAAATGTGTTTCAGGGCCCCTTTAAGAATTGTTCGACATCATAGTAATGTCCAAAAATCGGCTTTGCTGCAATGCATAAATGCTTTGGTAGGATGCATACTAAAATTCGAAGGGGCTGGTATCATTGCGAAGTGAGGTGATGTGCAGCGGATAAACACCGGAAATGCTCGGAGCCGTGATGGCAGCAATACGAAACACGCCAATAAGACTTGACCGCTTTATGATGAGCATCTTCAGCTAACTACTTGTTACTGCATGTGGCGCAGTTGTCGGCGTACTGCACGCTTTTAATCACGCACGCTGCCGTCCACACTGCCTTTCCGTGCGAATCGACTCAGTGCGCCGCACAGACGCAGTGCCTTAGCAAATGAAAGCACCTTGCCATCGCCGCACACGTGTGCGATGAGCAACAGAGTGGACATCGATACACATTTTTATGAGAAACATGTGTGTACAAAAGCATCCCGGTGGGAACGGCGGTAGCAGTGTAGAGGATGTTCTGCACAGAACTAAGAACGGCAGGTCTCGTGTGACAGGCAGCAAATGCTACACGTCGCTGGAGATTTTCGTACAGTGGCGCATCCGTTAAGTGCACACACGCATCCCAAAGGTCCGGGCAAGTATTCCTCTATTCTGCCACATCATTTATGTTCTGCGTAAATGTTTTCACATGTTGCATGCAATAAAACTGCAATTTATTCCGGGCTTTGCTGTTACCGGCGGTGCTCATCACACGACACGTATTTGCATATAGACATCGGCAGACCCTGAATGTATTTAGGGCAGCCTGAGCGTGCACCGAAGTGCCTGATAAGTGCACTCTAGGAGACAATGAAGTTTTTTCAGAGAGGGCTGTGGGGATTTGATCACTTGTAGCGCAATAATAAGTCATGAATCTTTTTTCGGACGATTTCCCCGTCCCTAGAAAGTCCGAAAGATTGGGCACTCATTGTGTCCCATCTACCCATAGTCTCAACCATAAAGTTTCCTAAATATTATTTGTTGTTGGCGTACTGCACACTTTTAGTCACGCGCACTGCTGTCTACAATGCCTTTCTGTGCGAATCGACTCAGTGCGCCGCACAGACGTGGTGCCTTAATGAACGAGAGCAGAGTTTCGTAAATATTATTTAGAGTTTTGTAAATGGAGCTTCCTATATATTATTTAGGAAACTCTATGGTCCCAACAAGGTCACGACTGTTCCGACCTGGTGAGAATAACCGAAATGCTATTTTCACCCGGTCAAAATAATGAAAGCGCTATTTTCACTCAACTTGGCTAAGATCTGCGGCTTTTCGTGAAAGTTTACAACGCCGGGTCAAGCAACCTATGGAAGCTTTTTTTTTTGACAAAGGCACATCAGGCGTATTTTTTGCGTGTTTGTGGTCGCTCGGTGTTTGTGTCGTTGGCATGCACACTGTGACTGTGCTTTTCGTTGCAGTGTGTTTTGTGAACATGAGTAGAGAGGGCACGGCACAAGGCCTGCAGGCAACATATCTAAGTCGGCATTGCTGTTTATGCAGGCATTTTCATGGATTATGGGAGCGCCAACTACAAGCAGCACATTCTGGCTACCTTCCCACGAGTCTCATCAGGTAACTGTGAGCAACAAGTGGGCGGATCAACCATCATCGGTGTCAACTGGTCGCACAAATTGGCTGCCTTTCGACAGAACTTATCAGGACTCTGAGAGCAGCACCTGGACGGCTCATTTATCATCAGTGACGTCGTCAACACCTCGGCTAGAAAAGGAGCAGCACAACCAAGGAACCCTCGGAGGGCATGGCACATGGCCTGCAGGCAACATGTCTAAGTCGGCATTGCTGTTTATGCTGGTTTGTTAACTTTCTAATACAGCATGTTATAGTAGTGACAATCTATTTTTGTTAGTATTGCCGTGCCCTCACATTTGTATTGCTTGTGTCATTGATTGCTGGTCTGTGGTGTTGATGCTTTTATAGTCTGGTGATGTTGAGAAAAACCTGAGGCCAAGGACTGTTGAGATGTTGGAGCAAATCTTAGAAAAACAGGTAGCATCCGAAACCAAGATAGAGGCCATGAGGAAAGAAATATCCAATTTAAATACTAAAACTGAAATGTTGACAGACTATTTTACAGTTATTGAAGAAATGAGTGAGCGAATTAGCAGTCTGAAAGCTATAGTCAGGCAACAAGAACAGAAGTTAATTGATTACGAAAACAGGAGTCGATGTAATAATCTACTCGTTTTCGGCCTACGGAAAGGTTCTGGTGAAACAGAGTCAGACCTGACGGAAACTGTTGTTCATAAACTTTTTGACGCAAAATTGGGTATTAAAGCAAAATCAGTTGACCAAATTCACCGGCTCGACAAGCAAAAACCAAATAGCTCAAGACCGGTCTTCTATAATTTTTACGATCACCGCGAAAAAGAAAGTGTGTTAAAAAACTAAAAAATTGAAGAAGACTACTATTAGTGTCAGCAATGATTACGCAAAGGAAACTGTCTACGCTAGGAAAAAGTTATGGCAAAGCTGCAAAACCGAAAGGGCAAAGGGAGCAAAAGTGAAGTTGATTCATAACAAGCTTAAAGTGAACGGTGAGCTTTAACAGTGGGATCAGACACGAAATATTTGTAGTCAATGCAAGCAACAAAAAGATAAAAAAGAATGTAACCACAGCTCTGCAACTTCCGCTCATAGCAGCTCGAATGTGCCAAAACTGACAGATGGAAGTGGCATAAAATCGTCTGAGACGGCGCGTTCATAGCTGAGAATTCTTTCACTGAGTGCACAAAGCATTGTAAATAAAGTAACAGATTTAGAAATCTTGTTGATTACACACAGCCCACATGTTGTTGTCTTAACGGAGACATGGTTGAATAATGCTATAATGGAGAACTGCATCCTACCGCCAGGATACAAGATTTTCCAGTGGGACAGGGACACCCGAGGTGGCGGTGTGGCAGTGATAATTAAAAACAACGTAGCGGCAACAACAGTACATTGCCAGTTGCCAGAAACAGTGTGGTGCAAGGTGAATTACGCTAATCATACGCATCTCATTGGAGCGGTCTACAGACCACCTGGAAGTCCACCAGAGTTTTTAGAAGAATTAAATATGTTTGTGTGTGATCATGTAAATGAAAACACAAGGCTGATAATGGCTGGTGACTTTATTTCGCGCATATATTTCGCGCATATATTTCGCGCTTTTCAAGTGGTCATGCTGAAACCCGTAGTGCTGATAGGTTATTAGAGCTGATGTTTTCCCATAACCACACATAAATCGTAAAAGATTATACCCGAGTTACCCCAACGTCACAGTCATTGTTAGACTTAGTTTTCATATCAAGTAGAGTAACTGATTATGTCGTATCAGTTGACGGCATATCAGACCACAGAATGGTTGCGGTTGACGTATTTTTTTTAATACCGGCTTTCGAGCAAAGCGTCATGTGTATGCACATATTAAAGATTACGATCGTGCTGATGATACGGCAATCCTGAACTTTTTAGAAATGTCGCTTGGCGTATTTCAGAAGCCATCAAAACTTAAGTCCGTTGAACAGCTCTGCAAACGTTTTAAATAAATTGTTGGTTACTGTTTAGACAGCTTTATACCCACTCACGTTAAAAAGACAAAACGAAGATATCCATGGATAAGTAGGAAAATAATTCACATAAAGCGTAAACTAAAAAGACTGCGCAGAACTCATAGGGCCTCGACAGAAATATGATGTGCTAAGAAAAACTTGAACGCAGAGATAGCGCAATCCATAGAACATTTTTTCAATAACACACTCACCAACTTTCTAAAAAAACTCACCACGTAAGTTTTGGCTCTTTTTAAAGGAAGCGAATGAAGGAATTGATCTTATTGTAGATGGAAAAGAAGTAATCACAGAAAAGTCAGATATAGCTGAAATACTCAATCAACTTTTAGATGCGGAGCATCTTATACTCGCGCCTTGTAGTGCGCCGTCCGCGCCGTCCGCACCGCTTCTCGAACATTCGACAGCTGATGCGCGCGCATGCGCCGTCGCGCCGTCGCCCACTCTTCCACCATCTGTGCATCCCTTCCTCCTCTACACACCGCGCGCGCTTCACTCCTCCACCATCTGTGCACCCTTCCTCCTCTACACACCGCGTTCGACATCTACAATTCTCCTGATTCTCCAGTGGACGCGCATGTGGCGTCGCGCTTCGAGAACATTCAACAGCTGACAGTGCATGCGCCGTCGTGCTGTATATATACTCAAGGTCGGCGCTCGCTCGCTCAGTTGCCGCTCGTCGGTTGGTTTGTACGGCGCGTCGACGTCCAAGGTCGCGGTGAAATGAATTCCAACGAATCCACAAACACAATGATCGACGTCCCTTCGACCAGCGCCGCCCTTTCGCATACGTGTGTATGTGTTCACTCATTTAACACCCCATCCTACAACCACGTTAACCAATTTAGCCATCGACCCAAGTAAGTCGCAATTTAACACCCCATTTCACAACCACGTTAACCAATTTAGCCATCGACCCAAGTAAGTCGCACTTTAACACCCCGTTAACCAATTATATGGTCCGCATCCTCCTCAGTGTTCCCCCGAGGGAAGCTGCGGGCAATTTTTTTCAATCGGTTTTATGTAAGGATCAGGGTGACAACGAGGAAATTGAATCAGGTACTACAGTGACACTTCTGGAAGATTATATAAATATTAACCGAGAAGGTATATTCAATTCACTACTTCTTTTAGATACAAAATTGTCATGTGGACCTGATGGTATATAAAATCAATTTTTGCGACGATTTGAGGAGTGGCTGTCGTACTACCTAGTGATTATTTTCGAGAAATCTTAAAATGCCACTCATTGCCTCAAGATTGGCGTAGAGCAATTCTTGTCCCAATTTTCAAAAGTGGTGTTAGAACATCATTGAACAATTATAGGCCTGTCTCACTCACGTCGGTATATTGTAAAATATTTGAACATATAGTGGCCTTAGTTTTTTTAATAGTTTGTTTCAGTGCACTTTCACCAAATTTTTTTTCCTACCTTGAGCATGTTAATATTTTGAATGAGAGCTATATATATATATATATATATATATATATATATATATATATATATATATATATATATATATATATATATATATACGAAAGGCACGGGTAGAGGAGAAGGCGACACTGCCTTTCGCTACACTGCCTTCCGTCTCACACCGCTCGGGGCCGGGGCAAAGCGCCATTAGCTCCTTATACCCGCTGCTCGAGCTCGGCCCGTCCATCCCATTGTTTTCTAAGGTCGCCTTTCATTTGCTCTCATAGGCTGGCGGTAGCCTCCTCTCATAATCTACTTGCGCAGCGCCATCATGCGGCAGCGGCGAGCGTAGGCTGAGTGCGTGTTTGACGGCCTGAAGAGAGCGTTCGCCCGAGCACTTAAAAAAAATAGAGGAGGCGCTGATTATACCTGCCGTCGAATGCTCAAGCAGAAAAGAAACATGCCACCCGTCTTGAACACGCATGAAAAATACGCGGCGGAAAGGGAAGGGGGGCAGAGGGGACGGGTCGCTTGAGCAGCAGCAGTGAACATTGATTCTAAGGGCGCGGTTGTCATAAGCTGGTGCACGCACTATCGACAAGCAACAGCGCGCGGCTTGTAAACCATGCTATGTGGTGCGCTCTCAATAGAAAGAGATTGTGTGATAAGAGCATTTTTCCCTGGAGCGGTCGTACATCTTTTCTCACACCAGCGTTTTGCAGAGTGCCGCGATGTCAGATTCAAAAGTGTTAGCTTTCAACCTTCGTATTGTCACGGGGTCGAGGTTGACGAAAGCGGCAGCCGCTCTTTTCATGAGTGAACCTTATTTGAGCGAACCTGTGTCCAGAAAACAAAACTTCACTTTACAAGCAATACAAGCTGTAGATTGATAACTGTAAACCAGAGCGTCGGCTGTTGATAGAGCAGGAAATTGTCGCGGCATTTATACATCTGCCATCGAAGATTCCTGCATTATCGCTAGCGGCTGCATAAGTTTCAGAACAACTCTAATATACGCGTTGTGCGCATAATCTCATTGCAAAGTTCTAAGATTATCTAGATTGTTCCCAGTCATCGGGGTGCGGATTGCGCAAGGCAGCGTTACACGCGTAATGGTGCGGTAGCAAAAATAGAAAGCGCATGCGGTATTACAATTACAAATTTTTGTTATTGCAGTCATCACTTCCCCGGTGAAACTAATTTTAATTTTTTTTCAGTTTATATGGTTTCACTAACAGCTTTGCTGTTAAAACATATATAGAGTCACATATTCAGGTATGCACACAAACACCACCTTGATAAGATTTATGCATGAACCAAAGTACGGCGTCACCAAACTAACTTATTAGGAACGCGGTTGCGCCTTTCGTGTAGCTCACGTGTCTTGCTCGGTTGATGGCGAAATTCGGCTAAATTTGGCGTTCCACACACAAATTGCCATTCAGGAGCAGCTTGGCGCAGCGGTTCAGATTGGTGCAGAATGATGCAAATGGTGCAGCACTTCCACCTCTGTAAACATTATACATGAACATGAATTATGCTGAACTTGAACATGAATAGGCCTTTGTGCCTGACTTAATCACATCTTGATAGTTCGTTAAAATGGCCACCAGCTTGATCACCAAATGTGTATTTAAACTGCAACACTTAGCGCCTGACTGACACATTTACAAAAAATAAATTCTTAAATTTATCAAGCTCGTATGGCGAAAACACGTGCACAAAGATATCAGTACGCATAATCAAAATCAGCTATTCTACACGACAGTTCCATGCTTCTAGCACAGCTTATATACCATTTGCATTTTAACATATGATCGCTGTAGTACTGGGCAATTTAGAAAAAGGGACCGTATTATGAAAAGAGAACTGTAATATAAAGCGACGGTATTATGAAAAGAGAACTGCAATATATAAGCCAAACTATTCTGAGCAATTTTCAGCACAGTTCAGAGCACATTTATCACCACTGCCGCAAGGGTGGCACTCATCTAGCCCCCCCCCTCCCCCTTTTCTTTTCTCGCGCGATAGCGTAGTGAATTATCGTACGCGCCTTGCCTGCTGCGAAGTACGATACTGAGAGCATTAAGAAAGCTGCTCTCTGAGCTGTGAAATTCACGAACAGCTGATGTTACTGCATGCTGATTGCGCCTAGCGCAGACTGTGCCAATGCGCAGCTGAAAGCGAGTGCCGATGCTGCTGTTTCTAATCGAATTTATATCCACTTATAAGCATATCATTTATAACAGTTTACTAGATTGAAATTAAGCACTGGCATGCATCTTATACGTGCCAGTCTATGTTTCCGATGCGGGTGAAAGTGGCTGGTTCAGACTCGCACTGCTGTGTCGCTTCAGTTGTTCGAGCCGGTCGCCCTTAAAATGACGATCGGCTCGAACATGTACGGACGAACAGCGAACTCGGTTCGACTTTCACAGTTCGCCATACTTACAGCAACTACCTGATTTTAACAGATAAACATGGCATTGACTACCGGCGAGCGCAGTCAGCTGTCCTCACCTTCTTGACAGTGACGTCATAGAACTTCGACTAATCCCAGCGGCAGCGAGACTCGCGATGGTGGCCGCAGCGCCTGTTGCTTGTTTCCGGCAAAATAAAGTTACTTTGCACTGGTTTATGTGAGCTTTCGACTTGATTTTCGAGTTCCGTGCATGAAATTACGTATTACGACACCATAATCTTGTTTTCTTTTTGAAGTGTTTCAGTGTCTCTTTAAGAAAATGCCGGCGATCTTCCCATAATCACCGATTTCAAAAAAACTTCGAAACAGATGTTCTCATTGGTACCGTGGTGATGTGTACCAAATTATATAACCATAAATAATTTGGTTTTTTAAAAAATAAATTTAGAAATTTGGTAAGCAATTCTGGAATTACAATAAAAAATTGTATCAGGTAAGTCGGTTTGAATACATCTTGGTAGGAAGCGCAGCAACTGTTACACGAAACACACAATACAAGCGCTAAACTTCAACTAAACATTTATTGCAAACGTGAGAGTTTATAAAGGGGGTGAAAGAGAACAAAATAACAAAAGGTAAGACAACAAAACCACACATGCAAGTCTCGTACACTATTCATCCGTTATTATCTATCACTCCATCCAAAAAACAAAGTTCTTTCCGCGTGAGCGAAATAGAAAGTGCACTAACACACTCAAAATCATCACGTGTCATTTCCACTGCTTCTACGATCCAACAGGTTAATAAATCTCTGTCCCCCATATAACACGCAAGAGATATTGAAATACGGCACACAACTGCGCTCTTTACAGTGGATTGTCAAGTGACCATCGGTACCTTTTTGCACTTTATTATGGTGCTCTTTTAACGTCTCATTTATGCACCTTTCAGTTGTTCCCACATAAACAAGACCACATGACAAGGACACCCTGTAAACAACCGACAGTGCACACTCAACATATTCAACCCGATGCTTACTGTAATTACTCGAATCTAACGCGCACCTTTTTTCCGGTTAAGCGAGTTTATAAATCGCATGCGCGTTAAAATCGAGTGCGAAAAAAAATGAATACGGTCATTCTATTGCCATCGGAATTTCCAAAATGGCCGCCCCCTACGTGCTTCGGGATGGGCTGCATGGCGCGTCGGCCATTTCTGCCTGTGTGTAAAAGCGGCACCACGATGCCGCTTTTAAAAGAAAAGTCATAGCGTGTGTTGAAACAGACGGAAATCGGGCCGCATCGCGGTCGTTTGGAGTTCCCGAAACCTGCGTGCGGGACTGGCGAAAACAAAAGCAGAAGATTGTCGAGAGCAAAGATTGACACGAAGGCTTCAGTGGACCACAGCAGGGCCGGTTTCCGTAAATTGAAGAGCTGCTCGCTGAGTATGTGCTTGAGCAGCGAGCGGCACAGCGGCCCGTGACGACAGAACTGCTCTAAGTGCGGGCTATGCAGTTAGCTTTAGAAAAAGGGCTAACGCCCAGCCAGTTCAAAGCTAGCAGGTGCTGGCTAACTAACTTTATGAGGAGGAAAGGCTTTTCCCTCCGAAAGCGAACGGGCATGGGCCAAAACTTGCCGGAGGAGTACGAAGAAAAGCTTCACAGTTTTCAGAGGTTCGTCCTAAACTTGCGGCACAACAACGGCTACCTGCTTGGGCAAATCGGGAATGCCGATCAGACGTTTCTCTACTTCGACATGCCTGGCACCACAACCGTCGACAAGAAGGGGGCGAAGCAACTTCGCATGCTGACATCTGGCCACGGTAAAACAAGAGTGACGGCAATGCTCTGTTGCACGTCAGATAGGCACAAGCTTCCGCCGTACCTCATATTTAAATGGAAGACGCTCCCGAAAGGAGTCGTTTTCTCGAGTAGTGTGATCGCGTGGGCCAACGAGAAAAATAGGTGCGCGTTGCAATCGATGTCTTACTTTTTTTTTTCGTCGTGAAAACCAAGTCCGCATTACAATCTAGGGTGCGGTAGAATCGAGTAAATATGGTAATTTGGCAACCTTTCTTTTCTTTCGAAACAGGACAAGTGTTGTGACATATGTATTTTTGACATTTTCTCTGGAGCAGACATGACTACTCGGACACCCACCTTACTTTCAATCTTCTAAAGGTTGTTTGCCACACCATGGATAGAGGGGACAACAGTCGTTTTACGTTGTAATAGTTGCTGCACTTTCTACCAAGCTGAAATCATACTTTTGTAAGCCCAGGCCACCCTGTTTGGCAGACAATTTTGGAATCACAGATCTAAACGCCTGCCACCCTGTGTGTGAGTAACGTAAGAGCCTACTTTTTTCTTCAGAACTCTACCTCACCCAGCAGATGGATGTGGTGTGCGCTTTCTTTTATGAAGCATCGATGGGGAGCACAGTCCAGTTTTGTCAACTGCATATCGTGTTAGCCATCATTGACAACGGGTCTTATTAAGCATGCACATTATTGAGCAACCAGGAGATCGATTTGGGGCACACAAAATGCATTAAAATCAAAAAGCAACACTTTCCCACTCACCAGCAATAATTGCTGAACTTTCCACTGGTGTGTTCAGATGAGCTGGCACATTCCCCGTCAGATGACATCGCCAACTTTCTTTTGGAACGATAAAAGAAGCATGTCTGCTACGTTTACACCCTCGACAGCCGTGGCGACGTGCCCTGACGTCATTGTATATACCCAGCCCAAGGCAGCTGCCTGTTCCAGTTTCGGTTCTGACTCATTGTTTTTTGTTAACATCATTGAAGGGTCTCTCAGCAAATAAACAAACCTAGCCGTTACAGGACTGTTATTGCTATTTCAAAACCACATTCGGACCTCAATATGATCAAAAGTGCACTTGAGTTATACCCCTGTCACACGGCCACCACCGAACTTTATTAAACTTCGTCAACATAAAGCTCCGCTAAGAAGTTCGACGGAGATGGAGTTGTACCAGTGTCACACGGCAATGACAAGGTTACTATAGTTGCCGCGAGGGGGCTCAGCCGGCACTATTTCAGTTTCACAGAAGTATCCCAATTACATCTCTAGGTGCTTTTTTGTGAATCTTTGTTATGTGGTTTTTACGAAAACCCAATATTAGGTACGTCTGAATGCAACAATGCATTAAAAATCATTTCGAATGGAAACACATTCGCTAATTGAAGCAATGCTGGCAGCTACGCTGGCCACCTTGTGCCTAACGCTATGTTTGTTACAATTGCGCTATGCTCGGCGACTAGTTGGCTTTGTAGCCCATGCACCAAAGTTCTTGTGTTTCCTTCCCTAGTGAGTGCATCCCAAGTTACCCTTGAATTATGTCTTGTCCAATTACCATTTCTGCAGTCGTCGAAGCAGGTGACAATGATGCAGCGCTTTTTTTTATTTTTTTTTTATTTATCATATACTGCGAACCGTTTAAGGTCCAAGCAGGAAAGGTACAGCAAGTTCAAAGGTAAAATAAAAGTACAACAAAGTTACAACAAAATTGATACTGGTATACACGAAATGTAAGAAAAACATAGCAATCACCATCAAATTATACTCGTTTCCAGAGGGCTGAGTACACCCACTGCAACACAATCCATAAGCAAAGCACCACACTCTTAGGCACACAACAAATTGTTAAATCAAACAAGTATTCTGAAAGCCAGGAAACACAAGGCGCATTTCATGGTGAAAAGGAAAGAAGAGTAGAGTTTCGGGGCAACAAATTCCACTCAGAAATTGATTTCGGGAAAAAAAGTGTTTGTATAAATTAGTTCTTGCGAAAATTGGCTTGATGGTACAGCTGTGTTTGTGACGGGAAGGCCTGGAAGAATCCTTTACCATGTAGTTTTCTGGCTTTATTTTGAGTTTAGAAAAATATATTAGACGGAGTAAGTTAAGTCGAGCAGCTCGTCGTCTGTCCTCAAGAGGTTCAAGATTTGCCAACTGCAACATCGCAGAGGGGGAATCGCGGCGTCTATACCTACTGTAAATAAAACGGGCTGCCAGGCGCTGAATTTTTTCTATCTTTTGTATATTGTTTTTTGTGTGAGGGTCCCATACTACCGAGGCGTACTCCAAGGAAGGCCTTACCATTGTTTTGTAAGCTTTAAGCTTTAAGAAACTGGGGGCATTAGCTAATCGGTGCTTTAGAAACCCTAGTTTTTTACGTGCGGAAGAGCATGTATTTACTATATGGGTTGTCCAGTTGAGGCTTGAGGTGTCCAGTTGAGGCTTGAGGCGCTGTCAGTCATCCCTCTCCCGAGCACACGCAAACGCGTTGACAACAAGAACCGCACGCATGGACGATGCCGTCCACACCGCGCCAAAGAAACACACGTTATGAATGAGTAGTGCAACAAAAGAACGTTTAATATAGGCAAAATGTATTTATTGTTGTCACTGCAGCAATTAAGTGCTTGAATTTTTTTTCTCACCTGCCAATACTGGGAACGAGTTTACCTCTTTTCACTGCAAAGGGAGATCATCAAACGTCTTTTGCGAAATGCTCCGTTTACCTTCGTTTGCTTAAGAGTTGCCGTGTGACACGGACCGCATCTCCCTTGTCATAAGAATGAAGGAGCGAAACGGCTTTGCGGGTGCCTGTGTGACAGGGGTATAACTCTTTCATGTCCTTAGAATTTTCGGTTACAAGAGAAGTTTCTCAGATCCCTTGAGTGTCTCTTATAAAAATATTTTACTTTAATAGCGTCAAAAGCACCAAGATTGGACTGATATCAGTGTTTGAAGCACTTACTGTACTTGGTGTGTCGTGAATGCTTGAAGCACACATCAGCTTCCTTTGAAGTACACTATTTTCAAAAACAGTAGCTTTTTATGAATTTGGCAGGATTTACACTGCTCTAACACATAGTATTTTTATTCTCGAGAAAATTCATGCAGTCTGCTACGAAACCAAAACAGTGCTCGCAATAACGCAGCCAGAACTGGCCTGGCAAGCATCATCACCCTTGTCATCACAAGAAGGTAACGACCATGAAGAGCAAGTCCATGCAGCATTATAAGGATGCACCACTTCCCGACACATTGACAGGGTACCTTGAAATGATATCTGTTTTAATATATAAGTTGATCTATAACCAAGAAGCCGCGACCCCCATTACCAGCATTGTGGAGATAAGCACCCACCACAGGGCAAACTATCAAAGTAGTTGTTGTTGTTG